CGCTCCCAACACCTATACGATGGTTAACGGCCACACCATCTCACAACCAAAATGGGCTGACGGACGCGTCAGCCTACAAACACGCCGTCCACGACACCATGAACACCGCGATGCGTACGTCCTACATCACACTCACCACCTTTGGCATCACATGGGCGTGTTTTTGCTTGGCGATCGGATGCTTTCAACAGGGGGAGCTGGGCGAAGCGCGCGCCAGGGGACCCTTTTTCCCGGGCCTTGCAGGCAGCGCCCTTTTCCGCAAATTCGGTCTTGAAGTCCACGCGTGGCTGAACGTGAATAGTCGTATTCGCGACTCCACCGCAACAACCCGCCGCCCTGCAGAGGGGCATTGGCGGCCTAGCCAGCCCCCCTTGCAATTCGAGTACAAGCCGCAATATTCAACCCTGGAGTAACCTCGCAAGGCTAACGTACCGACGGAGTTACGTATATTATGTTCTCCCCGGCACCAGATTCGAGAACTTTGGGGGTGGGCGACAGCCCACCTCAAGCACAGCCTTCGTCGACTTCAGGGTCGACCAGGGCGAATGGGTTGACTCGGCGCTGGCCAGGTTGGAAGCCGAGTCAGCGAGATTCCACATCCCATATTTCCAGATCCTTGCGCTCCTGTTGTTCCGAGCTCTGCAAGTCGGCACTTCGCGCGCATCCCAGTTATTGCAGCCTCTTTCACTACCAGATGCCCCGAATGCAATGACAGGTCGACCAAATGTTTGAACGGATGCGCAGCTATGGATGCTTAGCTGAGCGCTCGCCCGGAAACGTTGGAGGGGTCTACAGCGGTAGGGAGGCGGCCAGAATTTTCCACGCCGCCGTCGGCGGCGCGCCTCTCGTCGCCTCGGGCAACATTTGAAGTGACCAGGGGCCCGACGAATCCACGACGCTCCTAGGCCAGGCAGAGGGCAGCTCGCAACCAGCCGACCCAACCACCAATGTGTCGGGTACAGCCGCAGCCAGCGGTGCACCACCTGCTATAATCGCTCTGTGGGGTTTACCAGACCAACGACGCGATTCATCCTTTGATTCAGGAGCAGACGCGGATATCTGCTCATCTGAGGGTATTGATGAAACGGATTGGTCCGACCTATTGCCCCGCGATGGGCATGCTCCACAACGCCTAAACCTAGGTTATCCTAGTGATGCACGCCGTTGGAGGCGACATGTGCGAAAACCATGTCATGGAGATTCAGACGGGCAGCGCGCCGCGCATTGCGTTGCAAAAGTAACGGTCGCGGCAAAGGTGGTAGACGTACCAGAAGGTGACATTGATTGCGAAGAGGCATGCATAGCGAACCTTACCGATCGTGATTTTGAAGAAGTTGTCTCGGCGGAAGAGGCAGATGCCCTAGCAGGTGGCTCCATTGGGAAGGGTGGGGGACTTAAGCGAAACCTCGTGAATCAGAAGGGCCAGGTAATGATGTTCAATCGCTGCGGCAGTGACAGACATTTCCAGGCGCAGCGCACGGCGCGATAGGGGAAGGGCGATGGATCCGTACCTCTTGGCTCAGAACAGCGAGTTGGCGACGAGTTGAGAAAGACGTTGGTCTTCCACGCTCTGACCATCATTCCCGCGCCGCTGGTTCAACTTTGCTGCTGATGGCGCAGCGTGCCGATGTAGCCCTTGCCGTTGCACGTTGCGCCAACGTTTTTGCGCGACGGCATGCTTGACAATGTAGAGACCCCGTTCGAGGCATGGCTAGGCTTCCCCCTGCACGGGCGCGCGCGCGACAGCGAGTGCCGATCCGACGCAATGTCCGAGGCCGAGGCCATCCCTGCTACCGAGGGAGAGTTGGCAATGGCTCAACTTAAGCCCGAGCTGGCTTCCTTGGCCTTGCTGCAGGGGAGTTGGCGGAGGTCCGGGGTGACCAGACACGCGCTGCGGCATTTATGGTGCGCTGGCGCCATGGCCCTATTGGGGCTGGCCTGGCCACGGGCGGCAGCATCTCGATGGGGTCGAAGCGCTCTCCGCGGCGGGTGCTGCCCGCCCAGCACGGGCAAGGGCAGCCACGCCCGCGGGGGCGGTAGAGGCCATGCGTCGCCCTCCCGAGATGAGCGTTGCTTATGAACGGAGGTGCCCGAGGAAGACGTGCGTTGGTGGCTAGACCGTGGCTGGTCAGAGTCGCCCATCGCCGCCGGCACTTCCTCAGCAATGTTTTCAAGGACCCGACGACAGGCAAGGCGATCAAGACTTCCGACCGCCGATCGGATAACAGAGACGAGGCTCGCAACGGCAAGGGGCGCTCATCCAGGATCGGGGCGCTCGCCGCATGCGCGGGCACCCGCGCCATGCGAACCGCCGCTCTCGATGCCCGATCGATCGCCCTCCAAGAAGTCCCGCCACTTGGTCACGCCGTGAAATCGGGACCACGGGGGCGGCTCCGGATGCGATTGTGACGCCCCAGAAGGCCGCGTCGCACATGACGGCATCCAGGCGGGGACCATCGAGACAGACTGGGCATAGTTGCCCGAGGACCGACGCCTGATGTACCAGCGGGATTACCCTTTCATGAACGACAGCGAGTACATCGATAATCGCCAAAGTTGATGTATGTGTTTGTTGCCAGTCGTTTGTGTATGTTGTTGTGTGTCATATTGCTGTCGGTTCTTGATATCTGTCCTGGATACAGATGGTTGAGATATGTTCTGGATGTATGTGGGTGGAGTGCCGTCTAGACGGCCTACGACTTCTTGGCGGGGCTCGGTGGCGCGGGATATTCAGGGACATTCGGGGACTCCTTGCGCCTGGCAGCTGCAGCATGCAGGGCCAGCGAGGCGGGAGGCTGAGGAACCAACCACCCAAGAGTGATTGAGCACGGCGGCCGCGGTATGCACGGCTGGTGGGCGGTTTCTCTTTTTACAATCTACCAGTTCCAATTTGTGGCGCGGGGATACTGTTAGATCCCCCTGTTTGCCCACGTATTAGTTTTGTATTATTATCCTCATTCTTATTCGCATTATTATTATTAGTATTCCTCCTTCTCCTCCTCCAATTCTCCATTTTCCTCTCTTTTCCTTTCTCCTCTTTTCGTCAATCTCCTCCTCCTCCTCCTCCATCTCTTCCTCCTCCTTCTCCTCCTCCTCCTTCTTTTCCTCCTCGTTCTCCTCCTCCTCCTCCTCCTCCTTCTCTTCCTCCTCGTTCTCCCCTCCTTTCTCCCCTGCTCCCTCCCCCCTCCTCCTCCTCGTCCTCCTCCTCCTCCTCTTCCTCCTCCTGTTCCTCCTCCTCTCCCTCCCTCTCTGTACGTCTTCCTTCCTTCCTTCCTCACCAGTCCGGCCTCCTCGTTCCTCATCGTTCCCAATAGATGAATATGAGCACTATTCTCCTCGTTCTCCTGACTCCGTCTGGATGATACTGGGCCCTCTCCGCGTGTTGTTTCCTACGCGCAGGGTTTAAACATTATGGTTTATGTGCCACACACAGATTGTTTTCGGCATTTCAAGACGGTGCTCCCGCTGCAGAATTGGTCTGACTTTCGGATCGGCGCTTTGCTCCCGTCTTTCAGAACGACGCTCTCGCCCCAGCGCGATTCTTTTCTGGACCAGTGTCTTTCTTCATTGTTGTCGCCCCCCTCATTTCCCCTCCTCCGCCATCCCCTGGTCCTCCTGTTCCTCTCGCTCTTTCCGCTCCAGTTATTGCTGCTGCTGTTCGTCCTCGTCTTGTTCCTCCCGCTCATCCTCCTGCTCGACCGCCACCTCCTCCTCCTCCTCCTCCTCCTCCTCCTCCTCCTCCTGTGCACGCAGCTCCCTTCTTTCCGATTGCGCATAACACGATGTGGCCTTTGGGCTGGAGTTCCAGCTGGGCTATGACATGCGTCCGCGAAGACAGACAAAATCAGCGCAATGAGAAGGGATAGGAGGGAGGGAGGGAGGGATCGGATGGCAGATGAGGCGCGAACAAACCTAGCTTGCCTTCTCCCCTTTCCCCCTCCCTCCTCATTCCTTACCTTCGTCGCCCCTTCCCCTCTGCTCCGCTGGCGCCCCGCCCGCGACCGCGCGCGCCGAGCGCGGGGAGGCGAGGGACAAAGAGAAAACAATGGCAATGGCGTAGGGCCGACACGCGTTATCTTTGAACAAACCCCGAAGTTTGAAGCACAGGTATCCTCATTTCAAATCGCGTCGCGAGGGAAGCAGCAGGAGGGGGATTGAGGGAGGTTGGACGAGGGTTGGAAAAAAGATTTCCGACAACTTGAGTTATTCGAGTCGCCAGCCCCCGGACCTCTCGACCGCTTCTCTGGCGCCGGCTCTCCATCCTGGGCCAGGCCTTGGCAGTCCCAGGGCTTGGGAATGGCAGTTGGACGCCGTAGACTCTGAAACTTTGTCAGCGCGAGTTCTGTGAGTCGCTAGAGGTCTTGGGGCGGTACCAAGTCCTTTGGCCTGGTCCTCTTCGGATGTTCTTCTCCCGGCTGGCGAGCAGCCACGCTTCCCTCGTCGTTGCGGTTGATCTCGGCTCGAAGCGGCTGTTGGTCGGGGAGGGAGGTCAATTAGACGCCCTGGATGCAGATCGGGATAAGGTCTCGGCCGAGGTCCCCCTGAGCCGTGGTCGTGAGGGAAGGGGGGTCCCAGGTTTTCTCAGTGTTCGGCCTCTTGAGGCTCCGCCTTGGCCATGAGACAGTCAGAAACCAGCTTGGTTGGGATGAAGAGCCAGTTTAGGGTGCACCGAGCACCCGTTTCCCTCTGGACCTCTGTCGTTCTTGGCAATCGTGACGAGAATTCGGCCAAGAGCTCCTCCGCTCCCCCCCCTTCCCGCAGTTACGAGTCATGATCGAGTGCATGCGTGCACGTGTCTTGCGGCTGCGAAAACCTGTCCTAAACAGATCACATAATCATTCCTGGCGTTGGCATCAGCTCCAGAGGCCGGCGCTGTTGTCATCCTCGCCCTCCGCACTCTTCGACGTTCTTCGCAACATGCTTTGCAGCTGCTAGTGCCAATCGGCGGCGAGCAGAATGGCCTCGGGAGAGGGTTGGCGGCCTTCTGAGAAAGCGTTGTCTGGACTTCTCAGAAGCCCACCCGCCTTCTAAGAGGCCTTCTTAAAAGCCCCCGAGGCCTTCTTCGTTGCCATTTTGGCTCAAGCCATTTCGGCCAAAGTTTCTCGGGCACAGGCTTTAGCCGAGGTGATCTCCCCAAGGCGTCCCTCCGCCCGCATTTCAGGCCGCGAGCTGTCGTGCAGCGTGTGCATCGGCCCAGGGATGTCGCTCGACGACTCTACGAAGAAACCTCTCGCAGAGGATGGTGGCGCGATCCGTGATTCCGCTGGTGCCGTAGCGCCACCTGCCACGGCAGATGCTGGCACTGGCCAGGCCAGGCAGACTGCTTCGCCCGGCGGCGCCCTTTCCATGGACATCGAGACGCCACCAGGCTCTCCAGCCGTGAGTTGCTCGGTGGGATCGTTCGGCGGGCCGTCTGAGAACTTCCACGCCCAAGGGGGGCTCGTGGGCTACATCCGCGCATTGCGCCACGAGCCGGACATGGACAAGCTCACCGACCTGGCTGTCATTCTCTCGACTTTCCCTTTCCTGTTCATCCAGATACCGCAGATCTATAGCAATTTTGTGGCCCCTCACGAGATCCCTGCAGCATGGACCGGCATAGTCTCTGGCGGGATGGGGAACCTCTTGTTGTGCACTTTCTTCGCGGATGGCGGTGAGTGGGCGCAAGCGAGGGTTCAGGCGATCGGGGCGATCACAAACATCTTCGTCGTCGCCCAGGCTCGCCTTCTCCCGAAGCAGCCTATCGTCCCACTTGTGCCCTTCCTGGTCGTCATGCTCGTCATGATTGCGGGCTTAGTGATTCCCCTGCTCAAGGCCATGGGAAGAGCCGACAACGCCTTCGACTTGTGGCTAAAGGGGACGACCATTATTGGGGCAACTGTGCTTTGCTTCTCTCTCACGTACTCCATCATGGATGACGGTGCGGCGTTGTTGGGTGGGTCGGCAGGTGAGGTTGATGAGCTAGTCCCGAGCGTCATCAGTTTGGTGGGTCTGGTAGTCTCCTCGTTGTGCGTTCATTTTGGCGTCACGACCAGCAGCACTGGTGGCATTTTGGCAACGGTGCTGTTCATGTACATGCCCGTGCCGCAGCTCATCAAGAATTTGGTCGACGAGTCCGCAGCGCAGGGGTTCAACTTGGGCTTCGTGTACTTTGGACTCCTCGGGAACGGCTTGGGCATGCCGCGAGCGCTGTACACCAGGAACTACGTGTGGCTTTCTGGCTCCTCTTGGGGCTGCTTCGTCGGTGGAGTGCTCATGAGCGTTACCCTTCTGATCGCGAATAGTAGATCCGACGTCAGCTTCATCACAGGAGCCAGCGCCATCCTGCTCACTCTCTTCAACGTTTGTTTCCTCGTCTACTCTGCAGCCGTGTTCTATTGCACGCTTGCCTGGGACTTGAGGCCGAAGCCGCCGTCGCAGAGAGAGTTCCGCGTGCCGTGAACAACATCAGAGCAGGGTATGCCTTCGGGGAGGCATGCGCCGCTGAGGCAGAAGTTTCTTTCTATCGCGGGCATGCAAGCAGCAGCGGATTTGCCGATTACCATGGGTCGTTGCTAGCCGCGTCAATCGCTGCTTCACGGGCTGGGTTCCGACAGGCTTGAGAAATCCGTCCTGCGGAGATTCCCCGCGGCGACGTGACATTCGTTGCGTCTTACAGGTTTTGCGCCGAACCCTGTCGTTCCGAGACGCTTTGGCGAGGATCGTCTGGGACACCTCGTGTGCATGTGGTTTGATTGGATCCTTTGCGCACATGCTGTGCACCCTTCTATCATCCAGTTCGGCCAAGATGTCTTACACTGGAGGTAGCTGGGGAAGGCGCGTGGTGGACAAGCCGCGGAAGAGGGCGGACACGCGTTGAAGGTACCGAGGTGCCTGGCCCGCGAGTGGACGAGTATCACCCGCGTAAAAGGTGCCGGCACGCTCGTGGACGCGCGCGGCCTAGATGGCGTTCGCAATGAAGTTTGGGATTTCTTGGGCTGGCAAGAGCTGCCCAGTGCAGTGGGCCTGCAGGGCGAGGGGTCCTGCCAGCCGCGCCAGGCCGGCCCCGCGTGCAAAGTTGCCAGGATAAATTTCAAAAGTTGCCTTCTACCCTTTGGACAGTGACACTCAGTCGTGCGGCTGTATGCAATGTGTTCGGTGCGGAGTAGGGGCTTCGTGACTTTTTCAATGCCGAGCTTCGCTTCTCAACGCCCCTCAAACAATATTTGACAGCCGTTTTTGACAACCACGTTGCCCACTCTCCCTCCTCCTTTTCTCCTCCTCGTCGACTCCTCGCTCCCTTTGTCGCCCAATTCGCCTCCTGGTTGCCGTTGTGCTGATTGTATAAATGGCCGATTGGACCATGGGAGTCCAGCACACAACGCTCTTGTCTCCTTGGTTCCCTGTCCGCGTTCTCCCTCCTCCGCTCTGCTCCGCCCACCTGTTTTACAATCCTCGGCGGCACACTTCGAGAGCCAACCATCTGGGCATCTGGATTGCTTCGCGCTGTCGAATGCAAGAAAAAGAAGAAGCCGCCGAGCCCTTCCAAGGGCCCCCCTGCCCTCTCAGAATGTACCCCGCCAGCCCCGCCTCGACCATAACCCGCTCGAGGTCCGTCCCCGGAACCCTCCTGGGGCCCACTGGGGTCGCTTCGAACTTCGTCCCGCCGTTGGACCCTTGCTGAAGCCCCAAAGACGAAGCTCGTGACAAGAGACAGCGAATTCTCGGCAGCACGCCTCGTGGCTTCTAAGCTCTGCCCCACCTCTCCAGCACGCGGTGCAAGCGCGGCCCCGTGGCGGCGCCGGAGGTAACCCTGACCCCCTGGAGGTCAAGCGCCTGGTCAAATGGAGCGCCGTCGCCACAGTCGCCGTTTCCGCTGGAGTGGACGTCGTCACGCCGTCTTCGCCGTCGCCATCGTCGTCGTCGTCGTCGTTTGCCCCCGCCGTCGTCGCGGTCGCCGTCCTTTGTCGCCGCACTCTTCGGTAGCGCTCTGCCTTTCTCAGGCCTCCAGCGCCCTGGAAACATGTTGGAGAGTTCGGCCGGATGACCAGGCGTTCCGAGCCTGGGCCCTTGCTAGAGCCCTTTCAAAGGAGGATCGCCAACGCTGGGTGTCCTGTTTCTTCCTGCAGTTCCCAGGCCTCTGGGGGCCGGTCTTTGGCTGAATGAGCCGGACGCGGCGCGGAGTCCGTGCGAAAGTTGGGGTCGAGAGCCCCGTGTGCGACCCCTCCTCTCCCTCCTCCTGGTCCTCCGTGGCCTCCTCCGCCTACTGTAGGCGGAGGAGGGTAAGGAGGACCAGGAGGAAAGGGGCTGTGGTAAAGCCCTTTATTTACCTTGCCCGCATTCCCCGTACCCCTCCTCTCGCCGGCAGGGCTGCTGCGAATGTGGGTAGCACCCGCTGTGCATTGCGGCGCCCGTTCTGTGCGACACGTGGTCAATCACTCAGCCAGGTGGAGCATGTTTGGCATCGCCCCGTGGAGCCCTCAACGAGCGAGACTGAAATTCGATGTCCCACCCGCCCCCCCCCGTATTGTTGGTTCACCCGGATTTTTATGTGACGCGTCTATTGGTCATTGTTTGTCTGTCTTGCCCTTGCCTTGTCGCATGGACGCGTGAGCAATCCATTTCAGTGTCCTGGCCGTCCGCCCGCTTGAATGTCCCGCCCCTCGTCGTCATCTCTGTCGTCGTCTCTGTCGTCGTCGTCGTCATCTCTGTCGTTATCTTTACTGTGCCTTCTCGATCAGCCTCGCCCCGTCAACGAGCGACGTACGCATTCAGTGTTCCCACCGCCCGACCGCGTAATTGCCCCGCTTGTCTGACCGCCCGCCCGCTTGAATATGTCATCCACCGCCCGCCTTAACGTCGCGTCTGCTTTACCGCCCCGCCCGCGTGTCGCTCTTGATGTTCCACACGCGTCGTCGTCGGTGTTCGGTCGTCGTCGTCACCCTCGTCGTCATTTTCTTTTTCCCCGCCATCCTGTAGTGTTGGGTCCTCGTTTTGAAGAGACAGCGCCCCGCGTTTCCTCTCCTCTCCTCTCCTTTCCTCCCCCTCCCGCTTCCCTCCCATCCCTGCCTCTGTCCTCCGCAACAATTTCGGCACACCCTTTACATTCTTCGTCGCCCCATGGGGAGCTCTAGCGAAGGTCCCAGTGGCGCCGCCCGCACGCGTCCCCGCCACCTATTCTCGCACGCCCTCTCACGTTTCGTGGCCCCACAGGGAGCTCCACCCAAGGCCCCACGTGGTGCCGCCAGCATGCGCTCCCGCCACTCATGTCCGTACACATCTTGCACGTTTCGTGGCCCCATAGGGAACTCTACCCAAGGCCCGCATTGTGCCGCCCGCGTGCGTCGTGGCCCTATAGCGAGCTCCACCCAAGGCCCAAAATGGTGCCGGCCGCATGTGTTCCCGCCACACATTCCGACACACCCTTCACACGCTCCGTGGCCCCATAGGGAGCTCCACCCACGGCCCATATGGTGTATGCGTCCCCGCCACATTTCGGCACACACCTCACACGTCTCGGGGCCCCATAGGGAGCTCTACCCAATGCCCAAATTGTGCCGCCCGCATGCGTCCCCACTACCGATGTCAACGCACCCTTCACACGCTTTGAGGCCCACAGGAAGCCACACCCAAGGCCCAAATGGTGCCGCCCAGATGCGCCCTCGCCACCAATTTTGGCACCCCTCACACGCATCGTGGCCCTGCAGGAAGCTCCACCCAAAGCCCAAATGGCGCCGCCCGCGTGCGCCCTCTCCACCCATTCCGGGACACCCCTCGCCTGTTTCGTGGCCCCAAATGGAGCTCCACCCAAGGCCCGAAATTTGCCGCCCGCATGCGCTCCCGCCACCAATATCCGCACACCCCATCACACGCTTCGTGGCCCTACAGGAAGCCCCACCCGCACGCGTCCCTGCCATTCATTTCGGCACACCTCTTACACGTCTCGTCCCATAGGGAGCTCCACCCAAGGCCCAAATCGCACCGCCCGCACGCGTCACGCCATCCAATTAATTCGGCACCCCCCACACTTTTCGTGGCCCCATGAGGAGCCTTACCCAAGGCGCCTTTGGCGCCTCCCGCATCCCCGCCACCCATTTCGGCACACTCCTCACACGCTTCGTGGCCCCATATGGAGCTCCACCCAAGGCCCCACGTGGTGCCGTCCGCATGCGTCCCGTCCACCCATGTCGGCAAACCCCTCGCACGTTTCGCGGCTTCACAAGGAGCTTCACCGAAGGCTTACGCGGCACCCGCCGCATGCGTCCCCGCCGCCCATTACAGCACATCCTTTACACGTTTAGTGTCCCCGTGGGGAGCTCCACCGAAGGCTCCACTGGCGACATGGACATGCAGTTCCCCGCCCATGCCGGCACACCTCTCACACGGCTCATGGTCCCACATATGTCCCAGCGCCACCGTTCGCACGCGTCCCCCCCCCACCTATCCCTTCACATGTTTCCCATGTTTCGTGGCCCCACAGGCAGCTCTACCAAAGGCCCCATGAGGAGATCCACTGAAGGCGATATTCACAAAGACGGTACTCTCAACTGCATATGGTTGGGTCCTTCGCCAGGATCAGGATCATTTCATTTTTTGTCGTCGTCAGCGTCAGCCAGCGTCAGCGTGGTCGTCGCCGCCGTCGTCAGTGTCGCGTCGCCGTCGTCCTCGTACTCGTGGTCGCATGTTGGCTCGCAATAGGAAGGGGTTTTTCGAGACATCCCTCGACATTTAGAGGGACGTGCGGGGGCGGGGGGGGGGCGCCAGAAGAGGGGGAGTCCCAGTTCCAGAGGAGGGGTTGGCCTTAAAGAGCAGGGTCGAGGGGTCCCAGTTCCGGCGAGGGGAGGGATTTGGCCGAGCATAGCCCCAGTGAAAAACATCATCTCAAATTGTATGTATGTTCCCACCTCTTTGAACGTCTTATAGGGAGAAGGACGGATGACAGCTTCTTTTGAACACCGGTTCCTCACGTGAATGACAGGCACATGGGGTGTTCGTCGTTTCAGGTGGCCCCCCCCGCAGTAGAAAGGAGTGCATATGAGTATTTAGTAAGAGGGGACTTGGGATGGAAGCCTTCAGGGGTGCGTTTTGACCAGGATCTCGAGATGGATTTCGCCTGGGCCACCATCACTCCTCCGGGAGAGTGGTCGCGGCCCCACCCGCAACAGGGTCGGATGAACGTTCGCTCGCTTCGGGGCGCACGTAACGGGGCTCAGACCAGACAGGGGTCAGCCAATCCCTTCTGACCTCCTGCTGACCCAGGTGCGGGAGCCGCGCGGAGCCGACACCTCCTCCTCCCTCCGTCGATCCAGGGCGCCAGCCCGTCGGGTGTTCGAGCCTTCCTCGCCTTTAATTGACTGCTCCACCACCGGCTGCCACTTACATGGAGGTTGTTGTATTGTGGTTGGTAGTTTTGTTGCCAGTCCACCAGGATGACTAGCTAGGCAAGTCTGCCCATCCTCATGAACTGGGGATGGTACCCATGTGATTTCGGCAGAACGTTGCCAGCATGTTCGTTAAGCCAGCCACGGTTGATAAGATGCTCGTCTTGTCAAAAAAGTTCATCCCTTCGGCTCTCTCAGTTGTGCGTCTCCGCTGGTAGTTGCGACGGTCGGCCGATACAGGAGTGAGAAGTTGCGGGATTGGGCATGGGGCACCAGGATGAAGGAAAAGGGAGAGGGACAGCCAGAGGGGGGAGGAGGAAGCGTGGAGGCAGGATGGAAGATTAAACGCAGGAGCCACGGCACCCGTCGCAGCAGGCCATACCGCCCAACAGTACACCAGGCCCCGCCCAAAAGTAAGCCAGACCACCCGTCAAAGCAGGGCAGACCGCCAAAAGTAGACCAGACCTTGCCGAACAGTAAACCAGACATCCCACTGAAGCAAGCCAGGCTGCCTGAAAGTAGACCAGACCCTGCCCAAAAGTAGACCAGACCGCCCAGAAGTAGACCCGACCCAGTCCAAAAGTAAGCCAGACCACCCGTCACAGCAGGCCAGACCACCCAAAAGTAGACCAGACCCCGTCCAAAAGTAAGCCAGACCACCCAACTGTAGACCAGACCCCCCGAAGGAAGCCAGACAGCTCGTCTCAGCAGGCCAGACCACCCAAAAGTAGACCAGACCCCGTCCAAAAGTAAGCCAGACCACCCAAACGTAGACCAGACCCTCTCCCCAAAGGAAGCCAGACGACCCGCCAAAGCAATCCCGACCGCCCACAAGTAGACCAGACCCCGCCCGACAATAAGCCAGACCACCCATTACACGGCAGGCCAGACCACCCAAAAGTAGACTATACCCGGCCCAACAGTGAACCAGACCACCCAGTAATGCACGCCAGACCATCCAACAATAGAAAAGATCCCGCCCAGCCGCAAGCCAGACCACCCGTCGCGGCAGGCGAGACCACCAAAAAGTAGACCAGACCCCGCCCAAGACGCAAGTCAGACCATCCGTCAAAGCAGGCCAGACCACTTAGACCAGTACCAGCCCAAGTGTAAACCAGATCACCCATCAAAGCAATCCAGACCGCCCAGAAGTAGACCCGACCCAGTCCAAAAGTACACCAGACCACCCATCACACAGCAGGCAGGACCACCCCAACGTAGACCAGACCCCGCCCAAAAGCAAGCCAGGCTATCCGTGACAGCAGGCCAGACCACCCAAAAGTAGACCAGACCCCGCCGAAAAGTAAGCCAGACCATCCGTCAAAACAATCCAGGCCACCACAAAGTAGATTAGATTCCGCCCAAAAGTAAGCCAGACCACAGACCTCCCAACAGAAAACCAGACCCCGCCCAACAGTGAACCAGACCATCCATCAAAGCAGGCCAGACCGCCAAAGTAGATCAGACCCGACCCAACAGTAAACTCAACCTCCATTGA